CCCCAGTGTGGATTTTGTGAAGTGGTCCTCACAGGGGATGCTGAGGATGAGCCCAGATGCCATGAATGCCCTTTTCAAGCCAACCATCGACAGCATCATCGAGCATCTCCGTAAGTATCGCCAGGGCTCGGCTGCTGGGGGCAGAGCCAGGAACGGGGACTGACTTTTCCGGCCACAAACGTGAAGCCAGGTTGGCAGGAGGCCAGGGCCGGCGCCAGGAACCACAAGCGAGGGCCCTGGCAGAGTGGACAGGGCCCAGCATGTACATGGGCGGTTGCTGGGCACAGGCTCCAGATCTCACCCCCAAGGTACTGAAAGCAGCAGAGAGCCTGTGCTCACTGGGCTTTCCCTTCGGCCTCACAAGTCAGAGAGCCGGGAGCTCTGCAGCGATAGCACCCTCCACGGTGACAGGCCCTGAGGAGTGCCGTCTCTGCTTTATGTGGAGAAAGAAATTAGGAACCACAACCCTTGCGGGGGAGAAGGAACTGTTGTGTGAACCAAAGAAAAGTCCCCTCAGGAGGGGAGACAGAGGCTGACGGTGCTGCTCTCGGCCTCCTCAGTGGCATCGCCCAGGGACACACAGGAGACTCACTGGGGACCTTTTTCAGTCCCCCCCCCCACCTACCAAATCACAGCTCCTAGGGGTAGGATGGGATCTTTATGAAAACCAAGGAATAATATTTATTTATTTTAAATAGTTTTACTGATTTTTAGAGAGAGAGAAGGGGGGAGAGAGAAACATCAGTGCAAGAGCGAAGCAGTCACTGCCTCCTGCACACCCCCGACTGGGAAACGAGCTTTGGTTTTTATTCCTGGGCATATTGGTGTGCAAACCTCTTTTCTTTAAAACACTAGCTCTACAAAAATTCTGTTCAGACTAAGGCTGTCCCTCCAGTTTGCTCAAGTGGTTGCGCCCATTTCCCACATTCTCAGGCCCCCCGGTCCCTGGGGGCTGCTGGTTTGGTGACAGGGTGTGTCCCTCCCTTTTCCCTTCCAGGGGACCTGTTTCAGAAGCCCGAGGTGTCCACCGTCAAGTTCCTCTTCCTGGTGGGTGGCTTCGCAGAGGCCCCGCTCCTGCAGCAGGCGGTGCAGGCGGCCTTCGGGGACAAGTGCCGCATCATCATCCCGCAGGACGTGGGCCTCACCATCCTCAAGGGTGCCGTCCTCTTCGGCCTGGACCCCGCTGTCATCAAGGTGCGCAGGTCCCCGCTCACCTACGGGGTGGGCGTGCTGAACCGCTACGTGGAGGGCAAGCACCCGCCCGAGAAGCTGCTGGTGAAGGACGGCACCCGCTGGTGCACCGACGTCTTCGACAAGTTCATCTCTGCTGACCAGTCCGTGGCGCTGGGCGAGCTGGTCAAGCGCAGCTACACCCCCGCCAAGCCCTCCCAGCTCGTCATTGTCATCAACATCTACAGCTCCGAGCACGACAACGTGAGCTTCATCACTGACCCCGGGGTGAAGAAGTGTGGCACGCTCCGCCTGGATCTCACGGGGACTGGCGGTGCCACCGTGCCCGCCCGGAGGGAGATCCAGACCCTCATGCAGTTCGGGGACACCGAGATCAAGGCCACCGCCGTTGACATAGCCACCTCAAAGAGCGTCAAGGTTGGGATCGACTTCTTAAACTACTAACTGGCCCTCCCTGTCACCTGTCCCCTTGGACTCAGCTCACCTGCATCTGCTGACCTCAACCCTGACTATTCTCCCCCTGCCCTTGACCACTGACATTGCCCACCTGGATTTCAGCAGGGAAGATGACACCAGAGCTAGAAATGCTTAGGGATCTTTGAGGGCACACTGGCGTCGGGAAGTTCAGATCGAGGTTTGGGAAGAAGAATTCCAAGGATCCTAGAAGAGCAGCTGGTTTTCCTCGGCCCTTGTGGTGAAACACCCACCCAGCAAGGGAGTCTGTACGCTTCTGCACAGTGACCGAGCTCGCTCTGAACACATCTCGGTCGAGTAGAGCTCAGGATGCTCCATGGCCGTCCTTCTAGATTCAAAAGGAGAGCTCTGAGCCAGGAGGAGATTCTTCATCATCCGGAGGCTTTTCATTTTATTTTATTTTTTTGATGGCAGTCAGTGTAAAATGCCACCCACCTGCAGTTCATTGCTTTTCCTCATCATGTGATTGAAAGTGGAGACTCATTGGGAAGACGGAGCCTGTTAGTTGGTGCGAGAAGACTGCCTACACTGGGCACTATTTTAGGTTCTCATTATTTAAATTCCACATTGGTTCCACGGAGAATTGCTGTGGCCTGGGCGGACCCTCCGGGATTGGCGTGTGTGGGAGAGCTGACGCCTCAACTTTGCAGCAGGTGAAAACTTGCTTCGATGGAAGTGAATATTAAAGAGCTCCTGACACATCCCAAGTTGGACTCTGTGTCATTTTTGGCATCAGAGTGCCAAGTCTCGCTATCTGAATTCATCAGTAATTCTAGTTAACCTCAGGAGGACTTCTGGTGACAAAATGAGGTTGCCACTTGCCTCGTTCATTCATTATCACCAAGCCCAGGAGTCCGGAACAACTCCTCACCTTGAAGAACAAGCGTATTTTAAAGTCACTCCCTCCTCCCAGCTCACCCTCATCCCCCTAAAAGTTTTGGCCACTTAGTCCTACATTTGGAAGGCATATATACCGTCGTTCACAGGCAGTGAATCTGTTCTATGAAGTGTTTTATTAAAGTCGTCAGTTTTTGAAGTCCGTCCAAAAGAAACTTGTCAATCTATACGTGATGGATTAAGCCAGGTGGTTCTCAAGGCAGATCTGTGAGTTACCTGCATGAGGGTGCTGGTTAAAAACGGGTTCCTGGAAATGTCGGATTACTGTGCTGTACACCTGAAACTGTTATAACTAGTATAATATTGTTACCAACTACACACTGAAATAAATTTTTAAAAAAAGAAAACAGTTTCCTGGATCCTATCGCTTTTATGAATGGAAGTCAAGTCTTGGAATGGGGATCAGAATCCTCGATTTTTAGGAGATGCTGCAGGGTGACTGTGGTTTAGCTGAAATCTGAGAACTCCTCACTTTAGGATTTCGTGGGAAGCTGAAGTGCAGACCAGAGCCCACAGCCCCCGGCCTTCCCGTTCGGGCTCCCTGAGGGAGAGGGTCTACGAGAAGAGCAGCGGTCCCACACTTATCCTCTTGTGAGTGGGGCTGGGGTCCCTCCTGGCTTGAGAATGGCGCTTTTAACTCTCACAGGAAGGGCCTGGGGAGCAGGAAGCATGGAAGAAAGGTGCCCTAAGAAAGGGGCTGACTGGGGAACCAACTGGGGGGTCTGCGTTCCCTCCTTCCTTCCCCACTTGCAAAGACAGTCTCCAACATCCAGGAACCACTGGAAAGGGAACCAAGGCTCTGACTCACAGCCCAGCTGATCTGTTCAAAGCTGTCTCTTCTGCCTGCTGGCGTTCGCCCAATTTTAAAAAACTGGGGGCATCCATAATGAACGAGGGAGGACTAGTGAGCTAACTTCCGATGACATTGGATTCACAAACCCACCGTCACAGCCGATATGCAGATGTGAATTAGCATTTTCAGTGTCATTCGAACGTGTCTTCTTTGTCGCCTCGCCTGCTGCAGAACTCCCAAGCAGACTGTGAACCACCACGAACCACAGAACTGGGAATGCTAGTTGCACAACAGCCGCAGGCTCTCGTCCAGGCACAAGGGGTGCTGGCCAGGGTCTTCTTGCCGCCTGCTCTGCTTCAAAAGCTCTTTGTTCTGGGCCTCTGGTGTTGCAGCCATACTCTACAAATAAGACCTTTCAACTTAGAGGTAATATAATTTTATGTACAGACAGTATTAGAATATTGTACAGATTCTTTATTTCTACAATGTGCTTTTCTTGTTTAAAAAAAAAAAAGGAAAATGCTCTTTGAATTTTGTTGATGATATTGCTGCCTTTAATTTTCCATGGTTTCATTTCTTCATTGTGCTTTGCTGCTCATAAGTTTGCACCGACACTAAAGCTATGGACTATGTATGCAAGACTGAGCAATAGAAGAGGTGCCTGGGGTCAGAATACTCTGACCAAATGGGCCACCTGGGTCAGCAGCTTCATCAGACCTTTCTACACACACACACACACACACACACCCTTCCCAAAGGGTCCCAGTTTATATTTAAAGGAGCGTAATAATGTATGGATTCTCCTGTCCAGTCTTCGAGAGCTGAACGTTCTGGTTCTGTAAGAAAAGTGACTGTGCAGAAAAACCTACAAAAACTCTGCGTCCCTGCAGGGTTGTCAGCCTCTCCTTGTGGGGCAAAGCACTCACTCTGAGGATGCTCTCAGGACACCAGGGTCAAAGGAAGGGTAAGGTGGGGCGCAGATCCAGCTTTTCTACTGGATTAAGTGTGGGTGACACAGTCAAGTCCCTCTTTTTGTAGTTGATGGAAGGCCTTTCCCACCTTGCATTAAGGATGTCTCCTTGTCTGCTATTTCTCTTAAAACGAGCTGGTTAAAAATCTGTAGTGTTGGCAAATAGCGGATGCAGAGGGCGTGATCGTTTTACTGGACTTGCTTCTGGCCCCAGAGATGCAGCCCCAATAAGTGGAACTCCTTAAAGGGAATCCCCAAATCCATCCCTCTTCTTCCTTCCCCTCCATGGAAATATTCTAGAGTAGGAGCACTGGGTAAGTACACGTGGACACATTATCTAATCTTAGAAAGTTTCTAAAAGGCCTGTTGTCGTGACACTCAGTTGTCCTCAGTTTATTATCTGATGTTCACCTTTCTTGGAGGCAGAACTGTCAAAGGATTTCCTTTGTACCTGCCCTCTCTGTATGTAGCAGGCATTGATAAATGCTCAATGACAGACAAGTTACAGACAGACAAGACAGGGAAGAGGAGGAGATGTACCAGCATTTTGCATAGTGGTGGCTGGGACACGTCCAGATCACAGAGCCTGCCCTACCCCTAGAATGATATTTAAATCAAGTTTAGCTTTTAGAGCCCAGGTCTGGTTAACAGCCAGGGTGGCAAAGAATCGCATGCACCAGTATACACAGGAGTCAAAACGTACTATTAGCCGACGATCGAACTTCACATTGTAGAGACGAAATAGCTGTGATTAAGCTGCATATCTGTGCTGGGAAATGGCTTACCTGGATGGCTAGTATAAGTTGTTGGCCGTAACGTTACACCTCTCGTCTGCTTGGAATAAGGAACTATATTCTAAAATGGGTCTTGTTCAAACTTCACAGAACTTTGCAGCAATTCACGACTTGACAAGGTTGTATCTGCAAACTCTGTCTTCACAGATGTCCAATAAAACAAAACTCCGGATCTCGTGTGACCCAGACTTTTTTTTTTTCACTTTGAATGTGTAAGTGGAATTTTAGATACATCATTACCGACCTCCAGCTCCTCCCCATCGCGCATGAAGGTTGATTTTTCAGGTCCTTTCCTGGGTGTTGCAAGCTTTAACAACTTTCATTCCAACAAGACTGGCCCCTTTGTTCGCTGGGAAGGGAGGCTCCATTGCTGCCCATGAGCCCCCTTTTCCTTCCAAGCCGATGAAAGTGGTCTAGCCAGAGAAGGCAGATATGCCCCTGACAACACTACACCCAAACGAAGGTTGTTTCAAGAAAGGCACAAGGTCAGGTGCTGGTGCCTTGGCCTCTGGCGTCCTAGCAGGCACACCAACCTGGCTGCTGCATCTAGAGCCTTGGGTTTGCTCCAGGCTCCATGTCTGGGTCGCCCTCCAGAGTCAGTTCTAGAAGCTTCTGGATCTGAGGTGGGGGAAGGCTGGGAGGTGCAGTAAACAAATGAGTATTGGAAAATAGTGTCACCAGGCCCGCAGGCCTCCGTTTGTTTGTCTGCTCAGGGAGGGGCTGGGACCAGCAGTCTGTGAAGGCCGTGCATCCCCTCCAAGTCACCAGTGGGCATCTAGTGTCAACCCAATGAGGCGAGCCTGAATAAGGCTCAGGCCCCCTTATTCCCCACAAGATGAGCATGGTTAGAAAGGACTCAGGTCCCCAGGCGTCCCTTCATTTGGGTGCATTGCCCCTACTGCCCTGTTACCTGTCAGGGCCATGGGGAAACCCATCTTTCCTAACAGACAAAGGCTGGCACGGGCGGGAGAAGCCCAAGGGAAGTGCCCGTATTTGCAGGCTGCCAGGACAGCGGTCTCCTCTCCTGGCCCCGGCTGCTTCCTGCACAGGCCAGTCCCTCAGGGGCCACCCTGCACCAGGGAGGGAGGCCTGTTCCCGCTCACCCCCTCCTCCCAGCAGGACCTCAGCACCCCAACCCAGGACAGTGACAATATCACCAAAAGGCCGACTGACCTAGATCCCTGCGCGGGCCCCTCCCCCCAATTCCCAAACCCAGAGGCCCGGGGCGTGGGAGACCCGAGAACGGAGATGTGCTTCGGGCACCAGATATTTGTGGGGTTACATCCGCCCCTCTGGCCCCGGGC